GGACTACAGGCTGAAATTTGGACAGAGTCATCAAGAAATATTTTCAAAGCCTTCATTTTTGCAAATATATTTCCATAATCAGGAGTTTAGGCTTAAGTAGCCATCTGTGTTCAATTTCTATTTCTGCTATTTGCATATGCTCTTGGGTAAGTGATCTAAATCCCCTCTGCCCTAGTCTCCTTCAAGTATAAAATACTGGTAACATTTTCGCCTAAACCATAACACTAAATGGTAACACTGTAGTTGGATGGAGGCTGATCTTAAAGAAAGGGAGGATTTACACATAGAAAGTACAGCTGGAACTCTAGAATGATGGGATGTTACCATCCATAGTGACCATTATAGGACCTCATACAGTGTGTTGTATTTCACGTCTCACTACAAAGAAGTAGTGTTCTCTTTCTATGATTGTCTTACCCTAAAAGCACTATGTCGCTTTTCTCACATTTGTTATTTTTTTAATTAACTCATTCACCTTTACTTTTTGTTCTTATATTTATAATTGGAATGACAAGATTAATAGCAAGCTTTCGAAAATCTAGTTCCAAGCATAAAATTGGGTAGATAGTAAGAAGTAAGGATATTTGGCTACTTGTCACCTTTTGGATAAGCAGAATGCCTTCTGAAAATCTTTTTTTTTGGGGGGGGGGGGCGGGTCTGGTCGTGGGGCTTGAACTCTGTGCCTGGGCGCTGTCCCTCAGCTCTTCAGCTCAAGGCTAGCGCTCTACCACTTAAGCCACAGCGTCACTTCCGGCTTTTTTCTTTTTGCTTATGTAGTGCTGAGAAATCAAACCCAGGGCCTCAAGCATGCAAGGCAAGCGCTCTACCACTGAGCCACCTAGCCCCCTTCTGAAAATCTTTTAAGTTTTCAGAAAATTTTTTTTAAAAAGCAACTCCTATAATGAGGACAAATGGGCTTCAAAAATATATTTCCCATAGCAGTTGTTTGCCTAGAAGTCAAAAGTCATCAAAAGCACCTGGAGTTGGGTTCCTCACCTGACTCCAGTGTTAGGATGTGACATTTTGGAGTTTTAACTATTGGTGTATGGTGCCATTCTATTTGTGTATTGCTTTGTATGGCTTATCAGAGTATATCCTCCTAAATAAAAACAGGGGTATAAACTATTAGCCTAGCTGTGTAATATTCCATTAAAGCCTACAAAGTGTAGGGACAATACATTACCTCAGGAAGGCCACTGAAGAGTAAAGGAAAACTTTTTTTAAAACAAATTTCCTTTTATTATTATTAGTAGTAGTATTGCTGGCAGTAGTAGTAGTAGTAGAAATAGAAGTAGTAGACGTATCTTTAAGTACTTATACAAAGGAGTTTCCGTCCAGCATGTCAAATTGTGAGTACAATGCATCTTGATCACTGTGACCCTTCTGTCATTCTCCCGAGTCTCAATCCTATCCATCCCTTCTCTTTTCTTGGTTCATTTTCACCTGTGTACACTGAATATTATGACTGCATTCCACTACTCTTCCTCTCTCCATCTATCTCTGCTCCCCCCCTTCATTTCATGCCTTTCCCCCTCAATATATATCCTGGCTTCCTGGTATTCATTTTGATAAACTGTTAAGTTAGTAGTTCAAAGGAGTTACCACATGAGAATCCTCCCCCTCCACATATCATATTTTAGTATATAAATTGGTCTATATGTGTATATGGCATAAAAGGACCAATCCAGATCACTGATGGATAATCTCTGGGCACAGTCCAGTAGTAAAAAGGTCAGTCTGGGGTATGGGAGGATACTTTCCAAAATAAGTAAAGTCTTGGCTTTCATACAAATACAAAGCACACATGTGCAACATTTGACTTTACTTATGAGGAGAAGCAGTAAGGCGTTGTCACAGGCTCCAAGGACAAGACAAAGTGCCACATCTTAGATAAGGGACACTGAGAGGGATTTCCTTAGAAATGCAAAGCTGACAAAGGCATCATGATCCTTAAGACGAGAATCGGCTGCATTCGAGGGGATACAGCTTGCATCCTGTGGACAAAAACCGTGTGCCCTCATCTTGTCTTCAGTGTTCAGAGTTTAAAGCAGCTCAAAGATCATTTGAATCTGACAGTATACCTACTAATTGTTGGCCCCTTATGTAGGCAAAACTGGGATGGCTAGCTACCCCCCTTGGATGTCACATCTCACTGTTATTGGTTTAATACGATTGTGGACTTCCCTTGTCCTTGCTGCTCCGTTAGCTTGTTTAATGTTTTTGTTTTATTCTTAGATTCCTGCATATGTTGCCTTTTAAAAAGAGGATTTTTGTACACAATATTCCAGCTTTACAGGATAGCTTATCAGACTGCACAATGTGAAGTTTTCCTCCCCTTCATGTATGAATTTAGCTGGAAGCTAAGCTATTACCGGGGAATGGAGGAGGGGTTGATACTACTTTGCTCCTGGGTTTCTGGAAGCATTTTCCAAAAGCTAAAGAGCAATCTACAGCTGTTCAAATACTTGGAGCCTTTAAGTTCACTGTGGATTTTGTTCTAACCTCTTTCCCCCCACTTAGAGTATGAAAGAAAGAAAATCCCACGGCCAACTGCCTGTACTACTTTTTATTTTCCTTGGCTGTTGTTTAGTAAGCCTCAGTTTTTCTTTCATAACCAGAGGCTGTGTTTATTTTCAGGATTGGTGGTTCTGCCTAATGAATCAACTGGTATTGAATTCACAAAGGAGATGCCATTTCCTTTCCTCCATCTGTTTGCCAAATGTTTGTGTTCCCTCTGCTCCCAGTCCAGACTGGTTCCACTAAAGAGTGCCATTAGTGAGCGGGTGTTTGCCTGGAATTCTTAGCGCCTGGCTGGAGAGCAGTGCTCTTCCCTTGAGGTTCCATAGGGTTGAGCAAGGTGATTGCTCTCCACACCCATTCTTCTAGAAAAAGCATCCTTCTATTTGTTTCTTAAGTATGAAGTCTGCCTCTGTGTTCATGAGAATCTGGGCTATTTTTTTCTTTTATTCATAGTGGGGTATCTGTCTCTGGAAAGTAGTATTGCCATGGGGACCAAAATTACTTGAAAGAAGAGATAACAGCTCATTTGACTCTTGGCAGTCTGTCCAAGACAGGAGCCTACGTAACACACTGGAATGATTTCAGCAAATTCCTTCTTTACTCTTATTGGTGGTAAGAAGGATTGTCTTACAGAGGTTTTTGCATTTTCTACCAACCTCTTAGTCACCCTATACATTGTAAGACTTTAGGGCAGATGACTTTAGTAGATACTCAATGGTCTTAAAACCATGTAGGTTGAGAAAGGATAGGAGTGTTTCTTGGCTGCTCAGGTCAAGTGAAAAACCTAGCCCTTCTTCAGTGGAATTCAGAACAGAGTAGAGGAGTCAGATAGCTTTCCAGCTCTTCCTCTAACCCATCTTCCCATTGTAGACTCTTGGTATATTGTTTAGTTTGAGAATTGCTAGAATACTTAAAATAAAAAAACTATCTTTGATTATGAATTATATGGTGCTTTTGTTTATATATGTGTATATATACATATATATATATATATATATAAGTTATTATTCTGGACTGTTTTTCTTTCTAGGAACATGCTTTTTTTTTTTTTTGATTTGTGGGGGGATCAGTTGTGGGACTTGAACTCTGGGCCTAGGCACTGCCCCTGAGCTCTTCAGCCCAAGGTGAGCACTCTACCACTTGAGCCACAGCACTGCTTACGATTTTCTGGTGGTTTGTTGAAGATAAGAGTCTCACAGATTTTCCTGCCTGGGATGGCTTTGAACCATGATCCTCAGATCTCAGTCTCCTGAACAGTGAGGATTATAAGCATGAGCCACTAGCGCCTGGCCATGCTTTTGTTTATGTATGTGTGGGGTGTGTGTGTGTGTGTGTGTGTGTCTGTGTGTGTGTGTCTGTGTGTGTGTGTGTGTGTGTGTGTGTGTGTGTGTGCCTAAAAGTTATTATTCTGGACTGGTTTTTTTTTCTAGGAACATGCCATACTTTTTGATATATTACATAAGTGTTAAGACAAATAATTTCTCTTATATTTGTTTTTATGAATACTATCATCTCTCTTGAATATGGTGCATTTCACTGAGCTTACTTAACAGTTTTGTAAGAATGGAGTGTCATCTCAGAAGTCTTTTGAGTAATATTAAATGCTATAACTGTATTCTGACCTAGATAAGGGGCAGTTTACTTTTAAATATAAAGCTTCAAAGTTATGAGCTGTTTAATACCCACACATACCCATATACACACACGGACACTAAAGAAACTCATTTAAGCACTACATTTACCTCTTTTATAGGGTTATTCCTGTAGACTTTCCATTAATGTACAAACCAGTTTTGGAATTTACAGAAAAAGATAAAATAAAAAAAAAAAACTTGCCTATGAAGTGAGAGAAAGGACCATAAAGAAACTGAGATACTGCATAGAGACATTACTGCATACAGAAACATTGAGATACTGCATAGAGAGACATTACTGCATACAGAAACACTGAGATACTGCATAGAGAGACATTACTGCATACAGAAACATTGAGATACTGCATAGAGAGACATTACTGCATACAGAAACATTGTTACTGAGAGAAGCTGAGGAGAATATAAAGTTGTTCAATAATCAATAATAAAAATTAGTGTTATTAAAAAGTAGCTGGACTTGGGATGTCTGAATGATTTATGATAGTAAAACTTTGCACATATTTTGAAAAATTTACAACAAAATGGCCAAACAAAGGACAAAGGGGGAATCTGTGCAACAGCGATACTCACAAGACAAAATCTTGGAAATGATCTGTACGACTTGGGAGGAGGGATTGTAAGGAGGGAGGGATAGAGGGAAAAAAGTGAAGGAAGGAGTAACAAGTTAGACAAGAAATGTAATCACTAGCTTATTTATGTAACTAATCCCTCTGTCCATCACCTTGACAATAAAATTTAAAAAACAAACTCCATAAGAATAGATTCTTTGTGTCCTATATTGATAGACTTTCACTTATATTTAATATTTTGTGTTTTTTTCCCCAGCCATCAAACCCAGACAACCTGTTGGGATCATCCTAAAATGACTGAACTCTTTCAGTCCCTTGGTGAGTGTTGTTTTACTAATGAATTAACCTAAACGAGTGAAACCTACTCTTAAAGAAGGCTCAAATCTATAATCCTATTTGGGAAATTTGAGACTTAAAAAATTAGTTTGAGTTAATAAATGTCAATAAAACCTCATCTCAACCAATAATTGGGCATGGTGGCAATGGTCCTATTATCCCAGCTATGTAGAGAATGGTAAATAGGTGGATCATGCCTAGCAAGTGTCAGCTACTCAGTTCAAACTCCAGTACCTCTCTCCCTGGTGTGAGGGTCTGTGTGGTGGAATGTATATACAGCTAGTCACCAGCTTGTGTTATACGACAGTGGACATTTAAAAATGCAGTGGACATTTAAAAGCGGTTGAACTTTAACTACTTGTTTACAGAAGTAAACAGGTGTTTCCTTGAAGACAGTGTGTAGTTTAGAAGAGCCTAGGCCATGTACAGTCCCTGTACCAGGAGGAAAATCGTTGTGTAGGCTTTACCTTTCTTCATAATGACTCATGTTAAATAATGACAATCCAGGAACCTCTGACACACTGCTTGCAATTTGCTTTTAGCTTTCTTCTTAAGACATTTTTATCAAATTAGCTTACCTAATTTATTTTTGTGTACATCATGAGAAACTAAATTTATTTTAATATATCTGATGAGCATTCTGCTCTCGTTTTAATTTCTAGTAGACTAAGCCTTTCCACTGGAGGCCTAGCCTGCCTGGTGATTTCCAGAGGAATTACGGCATGCTGTGTCTCCCATTTCCTTTTCACTCCAGAGCACATCACTCCTTTTTGTCTCTTGAAATGTTTGGCTTCTGCATGCTCTTTCATGTTGAGTAGGTGAGGGGCTGACAGAGTTGAACAAGCAAGAAAAAAAAGCTTAAATTTTTTTATGTCACATGGTAAAGTTTGATGATTTCTGAATTTTCCTCTCAGTCTCTTGATATTCTGTCTTTAGAGGACTGAGAAGAATTTGTAACAGCCATTGTTTCCAAAGATATGAGGGTTTATGACAGGGTCCTTTGAAGGAGAGCTCTGAAAGGACAGAGACAAATAGATCAGACTGTAAGGAACAAGGCACTAAGACCACCTTTGTGAGCAGTGAGATAGATAATTTGGTCAATATAAAACAGATTGTCCTAGGAGAGAGCTGCTTCTGGAAGAGAAGAATCCCCTTTAGCAGTAGAGAAGGAATTTATTAGGCCTAAATAATAGTTGTATTTCCTGTCCCTTGTCTGCTCTTCCTGTCTAGGGACAGATAGGTGGAATAGTTTTGCTTATCTATTTTTAGGGTCATGACTGACACTTATCACATAAGACAAGTTAATTAGAGAACAGCATAGTAAATTTAGTTAACCAAGTTTTTATGTCACACAAGAGCTTTGAGATATGAACACCCAAATGCTTTAGGTCAACACTCCATTTTCTTTTTACAAGTTTGATGACTGCATGGAACAATAATTAAGCAAGAGGGTATAATCTAATAGTAATAGACTGAGAAGGAGGTTTATCAAGACCTGTGTGTTCGGATTCTCCTTGGCCTCTCTTTGGTATTCTTTTCTACCAGGTGAGCCAGTACACCTGTCTTATGAGGTTCCTCAAGGGAACATAGCAGAGGTCATAGAATGACCTTGCTGGGTTTGATGGTTTACTCTGGAAAATAGAGGCCCAGTTTCTATGACTTGCTTTGGGGAAAGGAATTCTGGAGTAGTAGAGAAGTCCAGGAAGTCCTACCATCTCAGGCTCTTCCTGTCTCCATTGATTCAGTGAACTTGATATGTTTAGGATTTTGAACCCTTATATTTGAAAATTCTTCCTTGGAGAGGTCTGCCCTAGCCCTGTTTTCAAATGTTTCTCAACTTGGTGTTTATGAACATTTATTTTCATAAGTAGATAGAAAATTTAGAGGCCTTTTTTTTTATTGTGGATAAGCATAATGTTTTTCCATCATCCAAAGTAAGTAAATGCATTATTGGCATTCAATCTAAGCTAAGTAATAAGCATGCATTTAAATGGTTCCTCCTTCCATTTCAGCTGACCTGAATAATGTACGTTTCTCTGCTTACCGCACGGCAATCAAAATCCGAAGGCTGCAGAAAGCTCTGTGTTGTGAGTTACTCTACCAAAGTTCATCATCTTGTTCTTTGGATTGTCTTTTTTATTTTGTTAAAGACAAGGACAAATGGAGAGGGTAATAAATTTGTAGCGTTAATCTGAGTTTCAGAGCACCTTTCTGAGGAAGTTGGCTGTATTTCTAAAAATGCTTTGTTATTTGGCCCACCAGTATGCAATAGTAAAACAAATGAACATATGCTATTTGAGGTTGGAGTACAAAATAAACCAAAAACACAGAAGTGACATAAAAAGCTTTTTCAGAAATTGTGCCGCCACCTACTGTATAGGAATTAAATGAAGGATTAAAAGCAGTAGGCCATTGCCTTTTTAATACTTCGTATCCATTCACAAGTTGTAGAGTTCCAAACAATTTGACTGAATACAATCATAAAATAACAGTCAACAGTCACATTTTTGATTCCTGTGTGAACAGGCACCTTAGAAAATTAGAGAAAAATCTCCATTTCATTTTAAATATGTCTTAAAGTGCTTCATATTATCAGTGAAATTTTCCCCTGTGGAGGTTATGCTCACAGTGGTATTCTTTGAAAATATTTTCACAAGAAGTTTATTTTCTCCCAAAATTTCATAAAACTAAGCAGAAATATGCATGCTTATAGTATAGAGTTAAGCAATTTGGTTCTATATCTGCATATAGTTTTAATGATTGAGTGTTTCCAAAGAACACTTAGGCTTTGTCATAGTGTTAACATGGAAAATGGTGTTTGCTTATACTTTTAAACTAAGATAATTTGAAATTTTCCATATATTATTGCTTATTACCTTTCATTAAAATGTCTAGACATGTCTTTCATTATATGCCAAGACAGCTCAGTGAAGCTTACAAAATTACCCTCAGAAAAATATTACCTTAAGGTTAAAATTTTTGCTTTTGGTATTTGATAGAAATTAGCAATAAATGTGAAATTGGCTACATGGGAAGTATTGAGTAGAGATTTAAAATCATTCAGAAAATATAGCCAAGTGTTCAGCTAAGTTCTTCTGGAAGGGAAAGTAGAAATGGCTGGAAAAATACCTGTAAATAGGCCTAAGAAAGGAAGAATGAGCTAAACTTGGCTCTCGTAATCTGCAGAGTCCCAAAGGCAATTGGCAGGTTATAGTGGTTAATAGAAAGTATTATAGAATGGCCTGTTCAAAACCCTGGGAGCCAGCTTGCTCTGGCTAGCCATTGCTATGTTGAACAAGAGGAGAATAGGAAGTAAGTTACAGCCACTGAGAGGCTGTTGGGTCTGCTCAGCAAGTCTGTGGTGACAGCACTTTTGGAAGAGGCTCAAATGTGTGTCCAGTATCCCAGCTGACAAGTCTGGAAGGTCTTTCCAAACCCAGTGGGCTATAAAATGAGGACAAATGACTCAGCCACAAAATCTCCGCTGACAGAAGACTGTTGTAAATGTGGTCCCAGTTTTCAGTGATACTTTTGGTAGAGAAGCAAATGCATGCGATTTGCTATTCTCTTCTAATCCCTAAAGAAAAAAAGCTCCCTCCTTCACCTCACTCTCAAACCAGAAAGGAAGAGAAGACTTCAACTTGTATAGTACAGAGCACCTGGCCATTGGTTTGCATAGGATCTCAAACCCCCAAGGCCAGGCACATCCTGCTTTACTTGTCTCCTCACTTCCCGCTCCTGCCCCACCAGCTGTCTAGCCTGGGGCCTGCTTGCCACTTTTCTTTCTTTCTTTTTTTTTTTTTTTTTAATATTTTTTTATTGTGAAAATACTGTACAGAGGGGTTACAATTACATGGGCAAGATAATGAGTACATTTCTTATCAAGCATTGTAGCCTCCTCCTTTGTGTTTTTCCCTTCCCCTTCACAAATTATACCGACATCAAATACAGTGAAAGCAGGGGTTATATTGTTGGGGAGGGACATACAAAGCAACAAAGAAATAATCTTATAAATGCGTTAGAAACAAATGCATGAAAGAAAAAAAAATTTAAATACATATCTTAGGGTTCATTTTCCTAACATCACCTTATGTGACCCTTTCTGCTTGACTCATACATATACTAGATATTGCAAATAAGGGACACCATGGGACCTATGTTTCTTTGGGCTTGTGCTGGCCACTTTTCTAGCATCTACTGATGGTTTATCAGCTCCTTCTTCTCTTGTCCTTTCTGTTTACTTGAAATGTCCCTCCCTTTGCACGGATCCATAAGCCCTTATTCCTCCAGATTCTGTTAAAATCTGACCTCTTGGAAATATTTTCCAGCTCATCCCTCCTGCCTTCGATTTTTCCAGTACTTATCGGCAGCTTACAATGACAATCTGTCACCTGAGCAACATATGCTTGCTGTGGGTGATAGTGTCTTGTGGGGGGTGTCCTGGCTCTGGGGAGAAGGGTGCGGTCAGCTCTCATTGAGTGTGGATCCTCCTCAGTGGAATGTTCTAAGGAGAGAGCTCGTTGCTCGGCATGCTTTCTTAGGGTCTCATACCATCTTTGGTGCAGAGCAAGTAAATGATACGCCGTAGAGTTTGCGCAGGAGTATGTATACCAGAAGACACATGCAAGATCAGTGCTGGTGCTGTTTAGTAGCAAAGTTTATTTAATGTTGGCATATTAATAAATGTTCTACTTCAGCAAAAAAATAAAAATGAAACAAATAACCTAGAAAAAAGCATCAGCAGGGTGAATGTTAGAACTGTAAAAACAAATGGAAAAAAAAAAATCAAATGTCAGAAGAAATTTTTACAGTTTAATACTAGTTCTATATAATTAAAAGCCAAGCTACTTAGGGACACAAATAACTTTTAAGAACCAAAAGTAGAAGGCAAGGATTAGTCATTACCTCTGAGGTTATGAGGATTTCTAAGGGGTTTCCATTACGTTGGTAACTTACTGATTCTTTAGCTGCATGGTTGATGAATGGGGCATTTTTGATTACTTTCTTTCTTCAAACCACACCTTTGTATCATTTATACAATGTACATTTTCTTTTTTGTGTATATTTTAAACTTCTGTAACAAGTAACAGCAGAGAAATGTTCCTCTGATAACCACCAGGTTAATGTCCTCAGGTAACACGCGTATAAACCAGGCTGTAAAAGCCACATGAGATCAATGCATGTGACTCATAATCAAAGATAAGAATAGAGGATTATACATGAGATCCATTCAAAATAACAAAGCTAGTTATCCCATTTCTGGATCAATCCAGAAATGATTTGTGATTGCATTTTGATCCTTGAGCTCTCCATGTTGTTTTGAATGCTTGTAAAGTTTGCTTCATGGCTGTACAATTCTTTTCAGTGCAAGTTTGGGGACAGGGCCAAGAGGTGAATGTATGTGAAGTAATACCCAAGGTTCCAAGAACGGGGGGAATGGGATGAGTGGACAGTTCCAAGGTAAGAAGACTAAGGCTGATCTGGTAGCTGATAGCAGTAGGAGAGAAGAACAGGGCTCCATTTATGAGTATCTGAGAAGGAAGTAGTGAGGGTAGCTGTTGATAAGTTGTGGAGGGTGAAGGAAAGAGGGTTTTATGAAATGCCAAGACCTGCAAGTTGGATTTCAGTTCAAGAAGAAGGTCAGACCTTTATTTGGACCCCAGTAAGGTAGAGGTTTCTGAGGGAGATTGGTAGAGATCTGGTAGGGAACTGTAGCACATGAATGGAGATCTCCTATTCAACCAAGAGCTATGTGGGAAGAATGGGATTTGGGAGTTGTGGAGAGAGAAGGCATCATGGAAATGATGAAGTAAATGAGCCCATCAGGCCCTCAGAGTTAAAGCACCAAGCCTGAAACCTCGAGCACCAGCTGTGGTTCTGAGGCTCTGGGAGAGGATGCTAAGAAAGAACAAGTCAACTGTGCAAACCCTGAGAAGGCAAAGAATCCAAAGGTCAAGTGCAGAGTCATGTTCAGTGTCTTTGTGCAGAACAGAGAATGATGATGTATTTCCATTTGCTCCCCATGCCTCCTGTGTGGGAGAAAAGAAAAGGTCTGAAAGTTGCTTAGGAAATGACTCTGTTGTTTGTTTCATTTACCGCATGGCTGAGCTGTCATTTATCTCTTTCTTTGAGAAGACAAAAAAAATCATAATTTTCTGTGATTTAAATGTAGTCAGTTCTTTAAAGGTACCTAAATGTGACACTCTTCAGGAAGATGTATGCCTGGCTTAGGCAGCGTGTCAGAGTAAATCACTGAAAATTGAAGACACAATAGGCTGTAGGTTGTGGCAAATTACTGTCACTGCTGCAGAGTATAACAACAGAGACATCTCGGAAGGAAATGAAGGACAGCCTGAGCTAGGATATGGTCTGTTGTCACTTGATGGCCTGTGGGGTCCAATAGCAGTGCTGTGTTTCTGGCCTCATGAGTGCTGATATTCATAGAGCTTAGAACATTTTAGCAGCATTTGAATACATTTCTTGAAGTCCATGGGGAATCCTAATTCTGTGGCTGCTTTCGTTACTAAACACTGCCCATTAGCCTGCCCTGGAGAGAATGAATATTGCTACTGCTCTCCAGAGGTTCATAATCGGAAACAATGTAGAATACCAAAATAGTAGAAAAATCACAATGGAAATTGCAGGTGGTTCTGTTGTATCTTCAATATCTGAAGGAAATAGGTTAACCTGTTGACTAGACTTTTATGTTTTGTATTTGAGTATTTGTCTTTATTATTGTTGTTGCTGTTTTATTTTTTTTATTACCATGAGTTAGGTATATAAAGTACATATGAAGCCTAAGTAAGTTTTGCATTTGGACTTAGGTCTCATCCCTGTAAGATCCTTAACTCCAGAAAAGTCCGTATCAGTAGGATATCTAGTCTAAAGCATTTTCATTGATGGATTGTTATCCTATATTAGCTCCCATAGAGATTTATACATTCTTCTCTGAGCACTTTTATTCCTCCTTTTAGTTATCCAGATGTCTTTGAGACCACTCTTCACACTGTACACATTAGCACTGCCTTGGCACACTAGAGATGTTTTGCGCATGGAAGCAAATAAATACGTGGAGACCATGTTCTCTGAGCCCGTAACCAATCATCATAGGACACATGATAGGTAAACCAGACTGAGCACAGATTTGTGTTTGATTGGGCTGGATTCCAACTTGACTTTCGTCCAGTGGTGAAGATCTATTATGTTTCTGGAGAACCTATCTTTTTGTCTTTTTTAAACTGAGCATCATGTTACACATGTTAGAAGCACCTGAAGTATCATTAGTTTGCTTGTCTCCACAAATATTTTTTTTCAAATAGGGAAAACATTCAAAGTGGTTTTTCTAGTTGTTTAAGATTCAAAGTCCATATTGTTCTATTTCGTCACTCTATGGTGTACTAGTATACTGGAACTTTTTAACTCTTACTCAACTATAACTTATACAATGACGACCAACCATCCTTAATACCTATTTAACCTAACTAAAACATTGTACAACACTTAGTACTCCATTAATATGTGCAAAATTTATATTTTATGTATCAGTTAAAATGAATTTAGAAAATGTAAAATAAAATTACTGGGGCATAAAAGACAATTGAGAAAGCAATAAATAGGCAGTCTGCAGGAGTTAGGACAAGGAGAGCGATAGAGTTCTTGAGATCTTCCATCATTTGGAATGGATTCAAAGACTTATGCCTTTCTATATTATTTTTAAAAAGATACTAGAAAGGAGGAAGCCAGAAAAGAAAAAAAGAGGAACATTAATGTTCATTAATGAGCAAATATTAATGATCAGAAAATGGAAAAAGAGGATTTTCAAAAAGCATGAAAATGTCAATAAGAGGGAAGGTTGGAAAGGTTGTTTTTTTGGGGGGGAGGGGGTGGGGAGTCTGGTCGTGGGCCTGAACTCTGAGCCTTGGCACTGTCCCTCAGCTCTTCAGCTCAAGGCTAGCGCTCTACCACTTGAGCCACAGTGCCACTTCCAGCTTTTTTTTTTCTGCTTATGTGGTGCTGAGGAATCAAACCCAGGGCCTCATGCATGCAAGGCAAGCGCTCTACCACTGAGCCACCTTCCCAGCCCAAGGTTGTTGTTTCTTTAACAACTAAAAAATGAAAAGAGTACATTCAAACATTGAAGACTGAAGATAAGTACTGGAGACTAGAAAATGCTTTCTTCTCAGTGTTGTTATACAATTCAATGACTGTACATAATCCTTTTTCTCACCTGATTAGTGGATCTCTTAGAGCTGAATACAACAAATGAAGTTTTCAAACAGCACAAGCTGAACCAAAATGACCAGCTGCTTAGTGTCCCAGATGTCATCAACTGTCTGACCACAACTTATGATGGACTTGAACAATTGCATAAGGATCTGGTCAACGTTCCACTCTGTGTGGACATGTGTCTCAACTGGTTGCTCAATGTATATGACACGTAAGTCTGTGTTTTTTTCCCTATTAAATTGCAATCATTAAGTGAAATAATGTTGTTGTTTTTTTTTGGGTCCGGTCGTGGGGCCTGAACTCTGGGCCTGAGCGCTGTCCCTCAGCTCTTCAGCTCAAGGCGAGCGCTCTACCACTTGAGCCACAGCGCCACTTCCGGCTTTTTTCTTTTTGCTTATGTGGTGCTGGGAATCGAACCCAGGGCCTCAGGCAAGCAAGGCAAGCGCTCTTACCACTGAGCCACCTTCCCAGCCCCGAAATAATGTTTTTAATAGAAAATCTCATAGCACTTTTTCCAGTGGAAATTTGAAAATAGGTAACTTTCCAAATACCAAACTCACAACTGGATAACAGAACAAAAAAGAAAATGCACTCATTATTTTAAAATACTAGATCAGATACGTGATGGCCACATCTGATTTTCTTCTCCTTTTCCTTTAATATCTTATTTGTTGTTGTGAATTGAAACAATTTGTTAGTTCATGTCTTCTCTACAGTTTTGTATGACAATTAGGAGTGATTTGAAAGGCAATGAATGAAATCTAATTTGTCTTTTGGAATTAGCTTTACTTATTACCTTGGTGGTTGTATGTATATATGGTACTTATGCATAATTGATACCACAGGACACTCTAACATCTGTAATTTAATTAGTTGTTCACTGTTACATAAAGAGCACCCTCAATTTCCAGCATAACTCATCTGCCATTAATTTCGCCCTTATGATTATGACAATGTGTTTGTGAAGTAATCAGTTTTAGAAAGACTTGCTGTGGGCTGGTATTCCTGAAACACTGGGAATTATTCATTCTTCTAGTAGGGGGCTAAAGTATGCAAAATTGAAATAAGAAAATTAGAGCTGAATCTAAAAGCATTTTCCATTAACTAATGATAGGAAAATTTGCATCCTTTTGCAGCCTTTTACTTGATTTAGGGAGAAAGAAGATAGATGATTATTCATAAATGCAAACATGTTTAGCAGCTGATTGATTCTGTATAAGAAATACATGATGATGATAACTTTAGAGATGATTTATCTAAAAGTATGTTTATATTTTTCATTAGAGAAAAAAAATACTTTCATCTCTTGATGTTCCCTAATATTATAATGTCTTCTTTTTAAATAATAAAATAGCCCTTGTGTGCCTGAGGGATTCTAAGTAACTCACAGAAGCATGAATGTCAATTGCCATAGTAATTATAGAATTTGCTACATGCCTGTCTGATATCTTTGAATGCATTGCATCTTAATATGCACTTCTGATTCTCCTAGGGTAAAATACTACCATTAGCATTAATCCAACATTCATTTTGTTCTTCAACTTTTTAAATCTTCATGAGACATTTTTTTTTCTATAGTAAACTCACCAAAATAGTTGTCAATTAAATATTTTAACTCTAGAAGCCCATAACTTAGGTTCATAACCCAAGAAGAATGCTACATTCATAGACTACATGTTTGGGAGTTCCATTGGTCCTTACAAAGTATGGTAGAAGTGGAGATTTGAGTCACTTTTAAAGGACAATTTGGAGAAGACGTTAAAGGAATCATCCACCACCCTCTGGGTTGGTAGAGACACACCATAGTGGTTTTATCAGGGCTGCTGAAACAGTGCACAGCTGACTGTGTGGCTTGAATAACAAACCATTCCTGCACATGTCTAGAGCTCTCAGTCTGTAACAGATCACTTCTGCACATATCTAGGGCTCTCAGTCTGAGTCCAGGTGTCAGTGGATTTTGCTTTTCCCCCATCCCTTGAAACATCTCTTTCTTGGCTTAGAAATGGTTATCACCTTTTGTACTGACGGTGTGCTCCTCTACTCTTCCTACAAGGACACCAGGCATATTGGATTATATATTATAACCTAAAGTCCTCATTTTAACTTTTAATTACATTTGTAACGACCCCTCCCACCCCCATCACGGAGTCAAGGGAGCTTACAACCCCCACATAGGCTGTTTTCATGGGCAGCCTCAGGGAGGTGTGCAGTTTTTGGGGTAGTAACCAGTGTGTGAAATCGAATTTCTGTTCTAGGGAGCTCTTGTCAGTATGGATGCCCTTTCACCATCAGATGTGGACACATGGAAATTTTACACAGAAGTACAATTTCCTATTTAGTTATAAGAGTATCTTGGCGTTTTTCTTTTTTCATTTTAAAGAGGAAAAAATATTCTCAGGACTCATCTTTTCTCCATACCAAAGAAAAAAAATTGTAAAGATCCTTCTGTATCTCAACGGTGCCTTTTCAGCCTGGCATTCAATCCCAGAGAACAGATTCATGGATTAAAATAAGGAAAAACAGTTCATTTTTTAATAGTAATCTCAGATGTCTGTGGTTGATTGCCTAGGCTTCTTTTTTAGCTATCACTCACTCATTTATCAAACAACAGCTATTAACTTTATTCAAGCCATGGTCCTAATAGAATCTATGATCTACTGCTTCTAGTGTATGAGTTCACTGTATACCCTTACAAAGTCTGTGGACCTTAGAAATGTACCTTTTCACTCAGGGAGCTTGACCTTCATGAATTAGTGAGTGTTCCATCATTATATAAGAAATACTTGAGATTATTCACTTATATAGAGATAATGTTTATTTTGATGACAGTTTGGGAGATTTTCCTTTATGATCCGTGAGCTCATTGCTTTGGATGAGCCTGCATGTCATGGCAAGAGCACAGGATGAGGCAAAACTGTTCATCTCATGGCCAGGAAGTGAAAGAAAGAGGAAGAGACCAACAGGTCCCACCATCCCCTGGAACCTGCCTTCAATGATCCAGAGACCTCTGAGTAGGCCCAAGCTCTCATTAAGACGTGCCAACTAGGGAGCAAATCTTTGAAGACATAGGCCACAAAGGAGGTTTTAGAGCCAAACTATATCATTAGCATGTATTTTTGACATGACATCATTGTATGTAGTATAATGCGACTAGGGCAGGCATTCATTTCTGGCTTCAGCTTTGCTTTTGAAATACTTAGTGGTGCACATACAGTAGATTGTAGAATTGTCTAAGTGGAAAGACTCTGGGCATCTTCTATTTTTTTGCCGTGCTTATTTTTACTGATTGAAGAACTGTCAGAATGAGATAAACTGATTTAGCCACAACCACATAGTACATATTAATGATAGTTATGAAATTGATTTTGAGATTTTTTTTTCAAATCACTTCATTATTTCTAGTTATGGCCATATCTAGGACAAATAAAATCTTTCAACCTTTAACATTTACCTAACTCTTCTTAATAGTCTCAATTTTGTGAGAAAACCATTATCATCTATCATGAATAAGAATTCAAATTTTTTTGTTCTGCCTACTTTGCTGGCAGACTGCTCATGGATTTCTTAATATTTTTTAATTTTTTTGGTCAGATAGAATTGAACTATGCTCTGAAATTAAAAAAAAAAAATCCTCAATAAGTTGCCCCCAAATATTTGTGTCTGTTTGCTCTGAGACTTGGCAGCCATTTAACTTTGGTAACTAAATTTCACATCTTAAAACCGAAATAAAAATATCTGGCCATCCTACCCCATAAAAGGTGATGGTGAAGGGCAAATGAACTAAAATATGCAAAAAACCTTTATAAGATAGAAAGATAAAATTGATTTCATTTATAAATCCACAGCCTCTTTCAGTCTTCATCTTCTCAGGTTAAAAAGCATTAATTTTCCAATCGTCCTTCTAGAAATAATGGAAATTAGAAGCATTTAAATCATCATTTAAAGCAGTCATCTAGAGTATTCATTTACATTTCTTTCCTCTATAATGACTAGGTTGCAGTAGGTCATTTTCCTTTCTACTCTAAAACGCGTATGATTCAAAAGATTTTTATTCTTCTGGCTAAAATTATTACAGTAGTTACAAAACTATCAGAGAAAGCAAATGCTTGGATAGTGCACTGTATTACTGACTGGTCATTTTTATCAGCTTGCTGTCATCCATCAAATTTAAGCGTCATTCTTGACACCAGAACTCTCAATCTTATGGCCCAACAGAACCTGGCAGAAGTGGGGGTTGTTTTTCTGATTTATTTTGTTTGTATTTTGTTTTTGGCTGAGGACTATTGGATATTTATAACATCATTACAAGTCATACAAAATTATCAATATCGTGAACAGCTGACAAGAAATACACATGTCTGTCCTCTGGTGTTTCAAGGCATTTTGCAGACCTCGTATGATAAATGCCATCCTTTCGCTGCCTGGGTATACACATCCTCACCCTACCTTAGTCATCCTGGGTCTCTTGCTCACACTTGGCCTTTGTCTCCCTTCTGTTTGAGGCATTCCAGCCTTGCACCTTTGATGACTGATTTTCCACTTACCTTCGATTACGCACTAATCTCTTAAGCCAGGAGGGTCCCATCCTGGTTCTTCATTTCCATATATAAAATTTGATCTTGTGTTTTCTCTTACGTTGTTTTCTTAGCTTACCTTACCTTGCTTGTTTGTGAGTTTGTTGTGGGTAGGAATCATGTCTTCTGCTTTTTTCTTGTGTCATCAGTGCATAAAACAATGCTGGGATTACAGTAAGCTTTTGTTCCTGCTGGTAGTGTGTGCATGGACAGGTGAAATTTTTTATTGTGTTCCTGATGATGTTTCTTTCTTGTATTGTCTGGATAGACTAGCATCATACTTTAAGGCATGCAATCATTGAGACCATTTTTCCCCTAAGAGATTGCCTTGTCTGTGGCCATATTCCTGTACTGGTCTCTCAGTCCACTTAATGGCCTTTTGTTATTTTCTCATCTGTGGTTTCTTTTCAGAGGATTCAAAACTTTCTGATTTTGGAAAGGAAGAAAATTAGCATTGTCATGTGAATTAGGAAACTCATGAAAAATATTGAATCACAATTTATAAGCTGTTCAGCTTTGGGTTAGTTTGGAGCATATTTCTTCCATTGGGAGAACCTAGGACTGAGTATTGTAATGGAAAATGTGTTTACGACAGCCATATTCATTTCAACATATAAGTGTTAGCTAGTTCATAAATTAATTCTGAGTGTTATACATATTCATGTCAGGGTTCAATAAATTTTTGGATATGATTCTGGGCCCAGAAATGAAGACTGAGCTTTTCATGGAATGTCAGTGCAGCCGTCAATCTCAGTCCTCACGCTGCAAGAGAAGAACTCAGGCAAGATGAGGGGTATAGTAAAAGTAACAAGAATACTTATTAGGAAAGAATATGGCAGAAAGGAGATTACATGGCACCTCTTTAGGGTACAGGAAAGCAGGAAGGACTATGCATATTACTGGGTGAGGGTGCCAGGAATGGGGTCTCTCATGGGGCTCTTTATCCCCAACAAAGAAGAGAGCTGAACACAGACTGATAGCAATGAAATACACCCAGGAGGTGCATAGGAGAGCTGAGCTGAAATGCAGCAGCCATCCCCTGCCCAAGGCAGCATTCCTGTCTTCCTTTGTTGGGCAGATAGGTCATTGGGTGGAGTGTGAGTCATCCTTCATTTGGTGCAAACTCTGGTAGCCAGGCTGATGGACAAGTGGTGCTGATGTCACAGTTGTGCATCTGTGCGTTCCCAAGTTCATAGGAGAGACGAGGAGCATGCTCTTTATAGAGATTGGATAGTCCTCCCGTGAGGTCCTGTGCATCCTGGGACAAAAAGGTCGTTGTAGGGTCATTGTCCCCATCTCCTGATGGGGACAGTACATACTGAGTAAGGCTCTGCTCAGTCAAACAAACTCCTCATTATCAGGGCTTCTGGCCCAGGAATTTTACAGTAAGCTCTGGTAGTTCTTCAGCACTGTTTAGAGGTCTCAGGTATTTGAAAGCCAGGAGATCTCAGGATCTGGGCTTACCAGTGAGTTGCCGTAGTAATCATAAAAGAGTACATCACTTGTTGCCCTGATACTCAGGGATCTTGTGCTGTCTGCCTCAAACTCATCTTTCAGGCTAGCATATCTCGGCAGACTTGTTTCACACCTCCCAAGGAGCTAGAATTATAGGCATGTGCCACCATGCCTGGCTTGCTTTTGAAATAGGATCTCACTTGACCCATCAACCTCTAGTGTCTGCCCAATGAATACCTGGGGTTAGAGGTGTATACTACCATACCCAGCCCTCAATATCATTTAGTATAATTACAAACTCTAAACTACTGAGAAACTACTTTGGAAATACATCCTGCCAATCCATCAGCATGCTTTCATTTTTTAATAATTTTAATTTTACGTATCATGTTAAGTAGGCAGAAACTAGCTTGAACATGTATATTAATTAGTACATGAGTAAAATGCCAATAAAATCAAGACCTAACTATAATTTTGCAATAAACTATTTTAAATTAGTTATAAAAATTAAATAAAATTAGTTACATATGTATCTGTTTATCTAGTTTTAAAATAGCATCAGTTACTGCGTCCTATATAATTACATAAACATTTGGTCATAGATTTTAGGTCTACTGTACTTGTGGATAGAAAATATAGCCTGAGAAAATTAACAATAATACCCTAAACTGAAAACAGATCCTGAATCTGATATAATGAGGCATAATAAGCATTTTTTCGAACAATGTGTTATTCTATTGGAAATACCATGTACTACTAATTTTTCCCCTCCCCAGGACCTGGTACCATGGCCAACATTTGTTCAACAAGTTAGTAATTCTCTGAGAAATACTGCAATAAGTCTAACTCTCTACTTTTAAAGATCAAATGCTTCTTCTGGTCAACTTTTAAAAATGAAATTGTGGGGCTGGGAATGTGGCTTGGTGGTAGAGTGCTTGCCTAGCAAGCATGAAGCCTAGGTTCAATTCCTCAATACCACATAGACAGAAAAAGCCAGAAGTGGTGCTGTGCCTCAGTGGTAGAGTGCTAGCCTTGAGCACAAAAGGCTCAGGGACAGAGCTCAGCCTCTGAATTCAAGCCCCAGGACTAGCGAAAAAAAGAAAAGAAAAAGAAGAAAGAAAGAAAGAAATTGAAATGATGTCTCATTGACATAATGAAAAATTATTTCCTAATGTTGATTAATTAATACATTCCCTTTTTAATTATACTTTGATACTGCTCCAAATACAGCTTCCACACCTGGTTGCTTATGATCATCAATGATTAAAATTGAAGTAGTAATTTATAGACTGCATCAATAGATATTAAAGGAAATGAAGATAATAAAATTTTCATTTTTCTTACATTTGATTCTAGCTTTTTCTTGGTGTGTTAAGTTGCATGCATATTAAGTATAACTTTAGCAGTTCATTTAAATTATTGTTTTTGTAATTATTTGCAGATTGTCATAGGGTTTTTTAAAGTGAAATCTTTTCAGCTATATAGTTATTTCCCTCATTTTGTCTTAATTTGTTCTTCTTGGGTTATATGTTAAGTGTGAAATGATTTCAAACTAAGTCTTTCTCCCGATTTGGCCAGATGTACTGTTAACTATGTAACAATGCTAAGCTGTAGATTTCATATGAATTGTTAAAAGTGAATAGAAAGGTTTTCCCATGAAGATGTGGTTATTTTTCAATGATTTGCTTTCAAGAAAATAAATATTTAGTATACTTTATTCCCTTTTAAATGCATCTAACAGACTGAGATTCTTATAATTTCAGGGGCCGGACTGGAAAAATTAGAGTGCAGAGTTTGAAGATTGGATTGATGTCTCTCTCCAAAGGTCTCTTAGAAGAAAAATACAGATGTATGTATGACCTTTGGTAACAGTATTTTTTAGTAGTTGTAACGATCATAGCAATTCATTGGGAACTTAGTTTATTTGATTTGCCAATAACACATCACACTTTTTAAATCCCTGCTATGTATGTATTAAGTTGCACAGATGATGGTATTTTTTGACAGATGTGTGTGAGTGAAAAGTGGATTCTAGGAGCCGAGCGCCAGGTGCTTTGATGGAGTGGGAACTAATGACAAATTTTTATCTCATTTGATTTTTAGAATAATTTTCCCACAACGTAGTTATTATGATTCCCGTCATCTAGCTGGAAACATTGATGCTGAACTAGATTGAAAGTCCAGTCAAAGGCTGAGGGTCCACAAACTCACGGGGCTAGAGCGGGATCCTTGGTGATTATAACTAGGCTATGTTCCCTGCTTCTGCACATGTGCGTTGTTTAGCCTTAAAAGTGGATGACAGCTCTTATGGATATAGGCAAATGCTGATTCTTTCTTTTTTTCCTTCTTATTTATATCCTTATTTTTGTTTTTTTGGTGACACTGGGGTTTGAACTCAGGACCTGCCTGGAACTCACACAGCATGCATGCTCCTGGTGCTGTACCACACGAGCCACACCCTCAGCTCTTCTTTTTTCTGGTTACTGTAGAGACAGAGTCTCACTGAGTTTTCTGCCTGGGCTGGCTTTAAACAGAGATCCTCTGGGTCTCAGTCTCCAGGGTTACAAATGTGATTCACAGATGTGCTCTTTCTAAATAGTTATATTTTATAATTGCGGCAAAATAAGATGATGAATGCTTTTAATTTTCTTTGTTCATTCATTATCATCAAATAAACTAATTATTCCCCCTTCGGCTGTGAGTTGATGGAAGCTAAGCTGATATTGGAAAGATCATGTGCATAAGAGTGAAGAGGGTCCCTTTTAAATGTCCACTGCATCGTGGCTTGGGGTGTTGAGCAGGTTTCTCAATCCTTTAGCAAGGAGTTAACCCCTGGCTAGCCAAGGAGTGACTTACTCCCCTTTTATCCTGTAGGAAGCTGAAATTTAGAGCATTTTCTTCCACTGAAAAATGAAGCTAATAATGTCTCCTTAGAAAAGAGTTAAAGTTCCTATTTTTCAAAGTGCCATCCCCGTTAATAATTACTGTAGTCTCCATACTCTTAACTGTCAGCATTTGTCTTTGGATAAAATTTTGTTGGTAAAATGTGACCTATCTGATGCCACCATGTTTAAGCCCAGTTGATTAAATCTGTGTGTTAGAGGAGAGGTGCATCTCATACATGATAGGGTGTCATAAAACAAAAGAAGGGGCTGTGGTTGCAGCTCAGTGATACAGCACATGCCCAGTAGGCACAAGGCCTGGGTTCTATTCCCAGTACCCAGAAAACAATATCCTTCCTTCTCCCAACAATTTTACACACACATACACACACATACACACACACACACACACACACACACACACACACACACACACACACACAGAGCGATGGAGCACAGGTTCTATCACTGAGCTGATTTTTGAGTCTGAAGGGAACTTGCATTCATTTTCAAAACTGGGCCAGTGCTAAGGAATTAGGATGTCTGTGAGATCACTTAATTTTGAGTTTCAAGTCAAGAACACCATGGCTTGATTTTCTTTGCATAGTTTGACAAGAATGTCAGTGAAAAAGAGGATATAGATTTGTGTGTGAAAAGGAAAAGCTGATCATAAGATTAAGAGGTGGGGAGCAAGAACCTAGGAAGCCAATTGGAAAAATAAAAATAAATTGCATAAAGCTTTTGTTTTGTGGTACCTTATCCAGAAATCAGATAGTTTTCTGTATCACAGTCAAGAAATTTCAAACTTTCCAAAGCTGAAAAGTTACCATTTCTACCATGATTGGGAAAGAAAAGCGTTAATGAGAGCATCAGTGTTCCAAAATTAGAAAAGGCATTTTTCATCATCTATGCTTTGAGGTTTTCACGTGCTCCCGAAAAAATTGGGATTCTCTGAAGGTAACAGTCATGGCTCTGAACTTACTTGGAAAAAAATGCAAATTCAGGCACAAAGCCTGGCTCTGTCCATAATACAGCATTAAATGATCAGGGGAAGCAGAGGCTCCTTACAATGAAATTTCCTGCTATATAGTTTAACCCACAACATGTGCTATTTTAAGAACTTAATTAAATAAGAACTCTCCTAGGTTGCCATCTTTAATCTAAATCTTTACTTGGATACTGAGAGGTGAAATGCTCCACGTTTTGCTTTTACTTTTGCATGCAGGCCCTGAGCAACTCAGATTCCACTTTTTGATTTCCCCAGTGATAACAGATCACCTCATGATTTCCTTCGTTAGGATTAATATTCAAGGCAATTTGCTCTTCAAACTCAATGGCAGAGGTGCCATTTGGGGGTCAATTGGAATGTGTGTGAACATTGATTTTGCAGTTTCCAAAGTCAATATCTTCTGGCCAGTGACAGCTCACTCTCTCTCAGTGACTTCCTGAGGACAGCCTGAAGTCTGCTCTGATCTTCCCTGCTCCTTGTGCTTACCACTGAGTGGCCTTTTGGCCTTGCCAAAAGCAGATTAGCAGAGCATTCTTTCCAGAGGCCACGTTGGACCTCTTTTGTGCTAATTTCTTGGAATTTGGGTTTGAGATATGATTTCTCTCGATAACCCATTCTTTTGATCTGTCTGCCTTTTTCAACCTGACTATAATGTTTTAAAATTGTAACTTCAATAAGAATTTAGCGGTACTGTATATCTCAATGTGCAAGGAAACCCTTCTGTTTTTACATGGTGTGAGTAGTCTTACCTTCTGTGTGGCCTGACCACATAACTATGTCCCTCAGTGTAGAGAAGAAGTTGAGCATGGTTAATCTGAAAGTGTGAGCAGTTGCTCTGTACTGATTATTGTGCTTGTGCATCAACTCTGGATTTATTGAGCAAACCACATCCCAGGAAGGCACTGACAATGAGCACCATATTAAGATGCATGGATAGATACGTTTTGGCTGATCATAGACTTATTCTTAAATAATGAAAAGAAACAAGTGGAACACTAAGCATATCTAAGTGAATGAATGGTAATAAAAATTAAATTAATCTTGATTGAGTTTGCTCTTCCCATGTGTGCTTATGATTAAAAATATATTTCATTATAATGACCGTCTATCACTGAGCTTGGTTCAGTTGTTTGAAATGTCACTGTCGTCAGCGTTAGATCTCACATCATTAATACATGTTTGTCTGTTAGTCACTTATCAGGCATTATTGTCAAATAGATTTTTTTTTAAATCACATGAAGAGCATTTAGATTGCATGTGCTTTTAAATGATTAGACCTTGAACACTCTTTTTAAAAGATTATTAATTTCTCTAATGCAATGGATTATTTGTATTTGAAGTTTCTCCCTGTTCCAAAAGTAACTTATCCTACTGCATTAACTTTATTGTTGGAAACATTATAACAAATTTAATCTTTTGACAGCACAGTATGTAAATGAATAAAAAATAAATCAGTGCTGGAAGGAGAGGTTTAATTTCAATGATTTATGAAACCTAGAAAATAGAAAAGTATAGGTTTTTGGTTTTTGTGGGGCTTTTTGGTTGTTTCTAATTACAAAAGCTGAAGAAAGAAGGGATGCACAACTTTTTAATGCTTTTAAATTTGGGGAAAAAAGTCTCCTTGACTGATAGAAAACAGCTCATTTATACATAATTGATTATTTGTATATAATTTTTCATATTTAACTAATTATATATAATTAATCATTATATATAATAAGGAATGAGAGACTTACCCTAAAAAGGAAAAGGACATACCTCCTTATTTTTTAGTGTTTCCTATACAAATAGGCATGAGCACAGAAATATTTTTAGACAGCTATAATATATAATAGAATATTGAATTTAGCAAGAAACAACGTTGGTAAATCATTAAATTTTTAAGGTACACTACTTAAAGAACTTTCATTCCCTTGATAAATCATGAAGCTTTGTTTTGGCTCATTCTTTTTTCTCAAGGGCATCTCTTGCTGAGACCATAAAAAATTAACCCATGTGCATTTATTGTATTGTTTGGAAAGGAAATTGTAGCTAGGCACCAATATTCATGCCTGTCACCACAGCTACTCAGGAGGCTGAGATCTGAGGATCAAGGTTCAAAGCTGGCCTAGGCAGAAAAGTGCAAATTCTTGTTTTAAACCCACAAAAAAGTCAAAAGTGAAGGTGTGGTTCAAATGGTGGAGCTCCAGCGCTGAGCAATAAAAGTCAGGCTAGTTCATAGGACTCTGAGTTCAAGCCCCAGCATCAGCACACACACCCCAAAAGGAAGTTTGTATTGATCTGTCTTTATGTATTGATATACACCTATGGATTCTTTTATGGTGAATATGGTGGTCTCTTTTTTTTTTGGTCGTTCATGGGGCTTGAACTCTGGGCCTGAATGCTGTCCCTCAGCTCTTCAGCTCAAGGCTAGCGCTCTACCACTTGAGCCACTGTGCCACTTCTGGTTTTCTGAGTGGTTTTATTGGAGATAAGAGTCTCACAGACTTTCCTGCCCAGGCTGGCTTTGAACCGCCATCCTCAGATCTCAGCCTCCTGAATAGCTAGGATTGCTGGTGTGAGCCACCAGGGCCTGGCTTTTGTAGTGTTCTTTTTTTTTTTTTTTAAGATATACAGTGCAATCCACATTACTGAAGATGTGCTTTGAATGAAAGAATGCTCTGGGCAGGTGGAAGTTAACCACTTGCCTCTCCCTCTTAATAGTTCTCTTTAAGGAGGTGGCAGGGCCGACAGAGATGTGTGACCAGCGCCAGCTTGGCCTGTTACTTCATGATGCCATCCAGATTCCTCGGCAGCTGGGAGAAGTGGCCGCATTTGGAGGAAGTAATATTGAGCCTAGTGTCCGCAGCTGCTTCCAGCAGGTAAACCCAGGCATCCTTGGCGTACAGGATGGATTATGAAAGGGTTCTGGTGACGTTCCAAGAGAGGGAATGAACACCTTGGACTGGAACCAAATCGTGGAGGACTTTGGGCACAATCCCAGGATGTTCGTATTTTATTGTTTTAAGGCGCATTGAGTCAAGGAATACTGACACCTATAGCGACACACTTTTTTAAATAGAAGTTAAATGGCTGCACTTGGCCCTTCCTCTGCCTCATTCTACCATCTTGCCGTTCTTCCCTCTCCTTCCCAACTCTACTGATTTAGTTCCTGGATTCCTGACTCACGCCCTTGAACATGTGCCTTCTCCCTAGAATGTTCTTCCTGCTCTTCCACACATCCTACTGAATCTTGAGATGTTACCTTATCTCTCAGATCCTGTCAACATCCTTCTCTTTTCTTCAGATGAATGTCTCCCTCTTCTATTCAGCTTAACATCATCTGTGTCTTCCTTCTCCTCCTCATGATAGTTCAGATTTCATATTAAATTAGATAATTAATTGCTATTGCAGCCTGCATGCCTCCGTGAAGGCAAGAGCTGGGGCCTAGCTTCTTTTCTGTCCAATCTTAGCTCAGGCTGCTAACACAACACATCATAAGCAGTGTGGCTTATGTATTCACTCTAGAGGCTACAAAGTCCACTCAGTCAAGATCTGCCTTCAGATCTGGTGTCTGGCGAGGGTCCGCTGCATAGACAGTACTTCCTTACTGTGTTCTCACATGGGGAAGGTATAAGTCAGATCTCCTAGATCCCTGTTAAAGGATGCCAATCTCAGCCATGAGGACCTCACCCCCTTAACCTACTCCCCTTCCACCCCCACCCCCACCCACTCATGGCATCCATCCCCTTGGGGGTTAAATGTTAATATGTGCATAATACCTCAAATATTTGCTAAATAAATGAATTAAAATATCTTGGTGCTCTTTGTAGGTGTGTGTATGTGTGCATACACACACACACACACACACACACACACACACAATCAAATTAGCAAACTTTTCTTTAAGAATGTATACCCAAAGGGAGAATGATTTGAAAAGTTTTATACCAGTCTGAGTTGCTCATTTTCACCTGGGAAAGTAGTTTTCTTTTTAATGCTCACACTATGAAGACACTTTATAAATATTACTGATGTCATACATATGCATAAAGTACAACCTACAGATATTTGGCCAGAGCACAGCCCCATGATTTATCACTGCTGAGAAAAAAAATTGCTCACACTGTATCTTTGAGGAGAATCGATGTCATGGGTTATTACATTTTATAATGGACCTTTTTCTTATTTTAGAAATAAAAAAATACCCAATGACTTCTTTTCCCCCAAATATGATTTATAGTCACATATGTTGGCTCACTGAATGACCTCAAAAACAGCAGGAGAGTGATGGTGGAGATTTAACTCTGTACATATAGAAATTACTCAGAATTAGGATTCAAAGAGGAATTGAGTGTCTGTCTGGGCATGGTGATAGATGCCTAAGAAACCTAAGATCTTAGTAGTGTGGAGAGTGGAGCAGGCAGATTGCGTTCAGGGCCAGCCTGGCCTACAAGGTGAGATTTTTGACACAAACACTGAAAGGAAGGGGAAGGGGGGAGAGGGAGAGCTCAGAAATGGCAAGTCTCATATGGTTTATCATGATAAACTTGTGCGTTTTACATAGTGCATTCAAAGCAAATCGCCTTCCTAATGTGATGCCCCAAAATGGTATGTGACAAAATAACATCTTTAGGTTAGGTTTTCTTTTCTTTCTTTACTGGTCCTCTACCAGTAGAGCCATAGTTCTACCTATTGTTTTTTGGTGTTAATTGGAGGTAGGAGTCTCATGGACTTTCCTGCCTAGATTGGCTTTGAACAATGATCCTCAGATTTCAGCCAGAATTACAAGTATGAGCCACCGTCACTTGGCTCGGTTTAGAAAATGGCCTTCAAGTTGGTAAGGTTAGTAGTGAGTCTTCACTTCATAGTTTCTTTAAATATATATTTGTTTTTAAATCAGAATAACAACAAGCCAGAAATCAGCGTGAAAGAGTTTATAGACTGGATGCGTTTGGAGCCACAGTCCATGGTGTGGCTGCCGGTTCTGCATCGAGTGGCAGCAGCTGAGACTGCAAAACATCAGGCCAAGTGCAACATCTGCAAAGAATGTCCAATCGTTGGATTCAGGTAGGAAGCCCTTCTGGTGCTGGCAGTGCGCCTGTTCTTCTCTCCTTGTGGGGTCGTGTGCTTTTATTTGTAGTTCCTCCTTATTTATTCCCTTTGAGGATTTGTCTCCTAAATATAAGGCATGCTCATCATATCCCATTACTCTAAGAATAAAATTCCTTCTTACAGTCACTATGGGAACTTATTCCACTACTATCATCATCATTATTATTTATATTACTTTGATTTTAAAAAAAACACCAAAGGGTTATTTTTCCTTCTTTCTTTCTTCCTTTTTTTTCTTTAAATGAACTTCAATGTAGTTAGGTCATAGAAATGCTCATGCAGCATAATTGCATGATGAGTTGTAGGCATACAGGCTTGCTAGAATTTGGTGAACCTTGTAAGTCTTTAGTATCCAACCCAGTAAGCAGGAAATACTGTTTAAAGATGAGCTGACAAGAAATGAGATTACTTCTGCCAGGTTTGTTGTGAAGAGAAGTGCTGCTGAAGTTTGTCCTTAACATTTCAAAATCAGAATGTCGGGTCTGTGGGCAGGATTTGTCCCCAGATGACAATGACCACCACCACCACCTCATCCTCCTCATCCTTTCTTTCCCTTCTTCCCTCCCTCCATCCTTCCCTCTCATCTTCCCCCTCTACTTCCCTCCCTCCTTCCCTTTGTACATTATATATGCTATATATGTAAACTATATATACTTTAAATACTATATATATAAAGTATATGTTCTAAAGTACATTCATACTTTCATGTGAGATATCTATCTTTTATAATACGACTAGTTTTTTACTAATTACTTCTAAATTAAATTTTAATGAAATCTGAGCTCGAAGGGATGGTTACTACATGTGGATATGTGTTCATCAAGGTCACAGATATCTACTACATGGTCAGCTCAGTGAATTTGAGGGTTAGTGAGTGACATTTCCTGCCGGCGCAGTACCAAGGTGGGCACTCCGAGACCCATTACTGTCCCTCCATCCTGTTCTGTTCCTATTCAGCATCACATAATGTCTTCTCACTCAGACATGTGCCCCCCCATCATGTCTAAACAAATGGAAATGCATTTTAGAAACTGAAGCTACAAAATTTTACCTTTTCATCCTCCCCACGTTGGAGACGTGGCTTCTCTTTGTTCCTAACTTGGAACTGGACTACTGAGCAAATTCCATACTTGTGGCAAATGTACCTTTTATTCTCTGGGTAATTTAAATGAATGAAATTCCTTACCACAAATGATTGATTTGGACTAAGTAACAAGAATTGAAGCCAGTGATTTTTCCCCCCCTCTAGGTATAGAAGCCTAAAACATTTTAACTATGATGTCTGCCAAAGTTGCTTTTTTTCTGGTCGGACAGCGAAAGGTCACAAATTACATTACCCGATGGTGGAGTATTGCATACCGGTGAGTACCAAGCCACTATGTTTGTTTGTCTGTTCTTGCTTGCTTTGGAATTAACTAATGTCTAAAATTTGCTACATTTATTTGGGCCTAAATTTGTTGTTTTGTTTTTGGGAAAAATAGCTTTTTCCAGATTGCTTGGCCTTATGTTTTCTTGTTTTGTTTCCTTTTTAACTAACAACTTAAAAATTAAAATGTACACCTTTCTCAGAATATGAATGATTTAATCAATGATTTTAAACTTTGTGATTTTTAAACTTAACTTTTTGGAAAGAAACTTTTCAGAAACCTATTTCTTAAGAAAATAAGTGACAAGCCATGAGCCTGTGGCTCACACCATAGCTCCTGAGGAGTCTGAGATCTGAGGATCAAAGTATGAAGCCAATCTAGGCAGGAAAGGAAAGTCCAGGAGACTCATATCTTCAATTAACCACCAAAAAGGAAAAGAAAAAAAATCAAAGTGGAGGTGTGGTCCAAGTTGTGGAGCGTTAGCCTCAAGTGAAAAAGCCAGGCCTTGAGTTCAAGATAGATAGATAGATAGATAGATAGATGAATAGAGAAAAAATAATGTTCCCTTTTGATAACATGTAAAATATTTTCATAATTAAATATTAACATTAATAAAAGTGTATAAAATGGAGAGATTAAAAATACCACTCATAGATCTAGCTCCTGAATAAGCTACCAACTGATGATTTTCCATATTCTAGTTTTACTTGGCTTTTACTTTTATGTGATATAGGTATATACACACACACTTTTATATGTATATATGTTTTCTGCTGACTTCTCTTGCTGCTGTCCTGGCATTGCATGTAGCAATGGTCCCCATTGTTGACATGCAGCCTGACTCTTTCCTCTCACAAAATATACAGTCGGATGAGTTAGTATTTATCTCACTAGTCCTTTAAATTTGGATCTTCAGTTTGTTTTCAATTTCCTGCTAGTATAAACCATGCTGGTAAATATTTTTAGTAAAAAAAAAAATATAACAAACCTTTCCATGTATTACCTCAATTAACATTTCCTTTGAATTAAGCACTAAGTGATGCACGTCAATAAATGTATTTTTATGGCCCAAAGACTTGATGCCTATCTATTTGCCAGAAGAGGTCTGTGCTGTATTACCTTATTATCATGTTTGTTATGTGTTAATCTTACCACAGCCCTGTAAGCATCAGACAGCAGCTATTATGGTTCCTTTAACCTAAAGCTATGTTTCTCTGAAATTGTCCTCATTTTTCTGTTAATTCCTATCCTTACCTTCCTTCCAAGTTGTGCCAGAATTTATTCATAGAGTTGTATGTACATTTTCCTTGGTTTAGGGATTCAAGTTCTCTTTTTTGAATCGTAAATCTACAGAAAGGCAGCAATACTGACAAAATGCACATACATAATTGTCCCATTCTTAGTATCCTATCTCAGATAAATAGGAACTCTGTGGAGAAAAAAAGCTCTAGAAAATGATGATAAATTGTAATGGATAAAATACCCTTGACGCCTGCTGACTTTAGGAAAAGAAAAAGAAAATCCTCCCAAGAAAATTGATGAAGCATTCTTTATTACTGTTACTAATTTTTTTTTTATTCCTGCAATGACTTAATGTTGAGCATTTACCATGTGTCAGAGGCTGTGGTCAGAATTAAAGCAAGACATGAAAGTTGTAAGGACAAATTTTAATCTATAAAACACTGTGTGTGTGTGTGTGTGTGTGTGTGTGTGTGTGTGTGTGTGTGTGTGTGTGTGTGTGTGTGTGTGTGTGTGGTGCACTCATTGCAATTTATACAAAGATGACTAGATGTGAAAATAGGAGAATGAAAATAAAGAGAATGAGAATAGAGGGGGCTGGGTAGCTCAGAGAAGGACAGGTGACCCAGGAATGGTCAGTGTAAATGTCCCGAGGCCAGCTGTGTCTGCTAGCTGGAAATGGAGGGAGTTAAGACTCTTCCTTCAGAGAGCTTGAGAGACCAGACTGCGGCTATGCTTTCTGGTGATTACATGACAAAGAAATGACTTTCAGGTCCCTAAGAAAGACAGTGAGTTGTAGGAAATACTGGTGTGTCTCAAAGGTTCAGAAGGTGGATTCAAAGTCATAAGGCTCCTTTTAGTAAATGCTGTGGAAATGGTCAGGGGCCATCTTCAACCCTTGGCTAGAATAAGCAATAAATTATACTGGCAGATTAAGGATATTTTCAAGCAGGCTTGTTTGTGGGGGTCATTCTCAGAATACAGCTCCAACTGTGGAGCTAGGAAATGATTGGTGTTGAGAATCAAATATTTTTTTTATTAGCATATACTAGTGATTTCATTGTAACATTCCTACACACCCATTCAATGCACCCTGATACATTCACCCCTCCACCGCCCCCTTCATCTCTCCTCTGCCCTTCTTAAAGCAATTTTAACAGGTTTCAGTGTTCTACTTTCATACATGCATATAAAACAACTTCAATTACATTCATACTTATTCACCCTCTCCATGTCCCGCTGGTGCTTGTTCCCAGAACGGCTGGTCTTAATTTTCTGTCATTCATTTTTCACTTTCTTCTCCCCACCCCCCGCCGTGGATTTTTTTTTTTAATTGTGAAAATACTGTACAGAGGGGTTACTATTTACACGGGCAAGGTAATGAGTGAATTTCTTATCAAGCATTGTTGCCTCCTCCTTTGTTTCCCCTTCCCATCGCTTCCCATCCTCCCTCCCCTCCCCTCCCCACGCGCCAAAGTTGTAAAGTTCATTTTCAACATAACATCTTGTACATCCCATTGTTGCAATAGGTCCACCTGTATCCCTAGTTAAACGATTTGTTTTTGCCCTTCCCCTCCACAAATTATACCAACATCAAATACAGTGAAAACAGGGGTTATACTATGGGGGAGGGACACACAAAGCAACAAAGAAATATCTTATAAATATGTTAGACACAATAGCCAGAAAGAAAAAAAACATTTGAATACTTGTTGGATTCATTTCACTTAACATCAACTTATCTGACCATTTCTGCAAGTCTCAGACATAGACTAGTTATTGCAAATAGGAGATTGTATAATTGTCCAAAGGGGGTTGCCATAATGTTTCTGACATGCACTTATTATAATTTAGTCAAATTAACCTTCCTTACTGTTCCCTTTTCTCCTCCTCTTACCCTCTCCTATTCAACAGCTTTCAGTGGTTCCTTATGCCATTTTCACATATGGATACCATGTATAAGTTCACAGGTTTTATCCCATCATTCTCTTTCACTGTCGCCATAACCTCTAAACTGTCCCACGGTTAAAATCATGATGTGTGTGTGTGTGTGTGTGTGTGTGTGTGTGTGTGTGTTTAGGTATGTATATATCTACATGCTGTGTATCTGCATTCCACAAATAAGAGAAAACAGACAATATTTGGCTTTTATAAGAAACCTAGGGGCTGGGAAGGTGGCTCAGTGGTAGAGCGCTTGCCTTGCATGCCTGAGGCCCTGGGTTCAATTCCTCAGCACCACATAAGCAGAAAAAGCCAGAAGTGGTGCTGTGGCTCAAGTGGTAGAGAGCTAGCCTTGAGCTGAAGAGCTGAGGGACAGCGCCCAGGCCCAGAGTTCAGACCCCATGACCGGACCCCCCCCCCCAAAAAAAAAAAAAAAAGAAACCCAATATCATGATCTCTAGTTTTATCTATTTTCATGAAATAATGTTATTTTTATTTATGGATGAGTAATGTTCCATGGTATGTATATACCAAATGTTTTTCTTCTCCATTCGTTGACTCAGGTACCTTAGCCCATTCCACAGTTTTACTGTTATGAGCAGTTTCAATCACATGGTTATACAAGTATCTTTCTTATATATTGATTTATATTCCTTCATGGATGGGATGATGAGGTCATAAGGTAAGTCTGCATACTGATCTTCATAGTGGCTGCACTAGTTTACATTCCCACCAGTGTGTATGATGGTTCCTTTTCCTGTGCACCCTCACCAGCATTTGTTGTTTTCCTGATGATTGCTATTCTGACTGGGGTAAAATGGCATCGTAATGTAGTTTTGATTCGCATTTCCTTTGTGGCTAAGGATGTTAAACATTTCCATGTATCTATTTGTCAGTTGTGTTTCTTCTGAGAACTATCTGTCCAGTTCATTTGCCTATTAATTAATTGACTCATTTGTTTCTTTATACTTGAAGTTTCTTTTATGTCATTGTTAATTCTGAGTATTAATCTTTTATCCATTTAGTCCCTGATCATGATTTTCTTCCGTCTCGTGAGTTTTCTGTTGCCTTTAGTACTTGTTTCTTTTTCTGTGTAGAAACATTTTTATTTGTCAGTTCTCTCTTATTTCTGGGCAATTGGGTTCTTAGACAGTGGAGCCAAAACAAAACAGCCTGGAGAAAACACAGCTTCTTCTTACTGCTTAGAAAGTTATCTATATTCAGAAGGCTGAAAATATACCCTTATCTCTTACTCTGTACAAAAAAAACTTTACATGTATCAACAATCATAATGTAAGATCTGAAGCTTTAAAACTGCTACTAGGAAACGTAGGGAAAACTCTGGAGAATGTAGGCACAGGCAATTATTTTCTGAAGAGAACCTATACTATTATAGGCCAAGGCCTCAGTCAAGAAGAAGGTTCAGAGGAACCTGACTACAGTTTGATCAAGGAGAGAATCTGTCATCCCTGATGATGTGTCCACTTGCTACCTGGAAAGACAAGATTAGTGATTCTCCTGCTGCTTTCTATTTAAAAGGGGGAAGTGTGTGGCAGTGAACAAAGAAATGAGATGATTATAGATGTAGTAAGTGCCTTTTGGAACATGCATAATGAGAGACAGTGATTAGAGGAGGCACTTTAGATAAAGACATTGGGCAAGATCTGCCTGATTAGTTGACCTTTGAGGTGAAACTGAAAGTTGAGAGAATTAGCCTCCACATAGGGGTATATATTTTTTTTAACCAGGGATCATTTGGATATTTAAAACATCATTCTTGAACCACACAAAATACAGACAGGCCATAACAACCA